AATGAAACTAATTAAATGTCCCAGTGACCATACTGGGTCTTACCGTAGATGTGCCAGGATAACATTTATGGAAGCAGACTATTAGGTTACTTTGTGTAGCCCAGAAGTTCTAAAGAACATCTTTTGAAAGTCACAAGTATGCGCCACATTTTCATCAAGAAGTCCCCATGCATGTGCCCTTGTGTTTCTGAAACAACTTGTTATTGGAGAAAATAAGAGATCTGTTGGTCCTTTAAATTTGGAGGAACAAGTTGCCTCTTTTCTTTCTCCCTATTTCAGTTTAGTCATCCAAACCATAATAAATCCTCAGCATAATAAAATTTGGTCTTAAGTGAGTACAAACTGCCATGATTACATTTAATTCAATCCATATTTGGCTGTTTTAATACAATATGACTTACTTTGATAATTCAACTTCTGGTTAACCTAGAATGTGGTTTATCATTTCATAATCTTGTTGCAGTGATTACACCTACTCAATATAGTTAACAAAAATCTTCATATTCTGAGATTAGAGGAATTCTTGAACTCTTAGCATTGGATAATTAAATTGTTTCTTTTCTCACCACTCCTTATCTTGTCTTTTAAAAAGTCTTTCCATTTTTATCTCCTTTAACTTCTTTTCCCCAAAGCCCAAAGCCAATTAATAGGTAAGTAATGATTTGTAAAGCAAAAAGTAACACTTTGCTAGCACAGCACTGAAAAAAAGCAATTCTTTGCTCGGTACAGATTGAACCATTCTCTTCTCGCTGAATATAAAATATATGCCAAATTAGTAAATTATGATGATTTGATTTAACTAAATTAGCCAACACTAATAGCAAAGGGTACAACTTGCTTTTAGCCTGGAACGTGTTGTTCTTATTGGCATTCTTCTGTTCCTGGCAGATGAGGAAACAACTAAGTAAAACATTTTGTACTGCACTTAACTTATTTTCCTAGGAAGGAGAACAAAATAACATTGATTTTGCATCACCCTAACTGGGAACATTAGTTATATAAGACTAGAAGTGACTTGAGAAAAAGGTGGGGATGGGGGAAGGACTGGGAAATTGAGCTACCCTCACCTGGTCAGTAGTGTGTCTCCTTCTTGCACTGAATACAAGAAACGTCACTGCAGATCACCTTCTTAGATCCCATCCTGATGTCTAACAGGAGTACTTCCCTATAGGAACTGAGGTCTGCCATGTGAGGTTAGTTCAGAGCCTGGGCCCCATGCAGAGCTTAGGGCTTCTACTGGAACACCCACGGCCCAAACAACTTGACAATGGGTCTTCCTCTCCTGGGCTTCCTGGTACTCCTGTAGGCGTGGTTGGGAGTCAGCTGGCTCTTTCTCCACATCCCCTGCATCGCATTTCTCAGTCTCCTGCTGAGGGAGCCGCTGATGATGACCTTGCTCCCTTGACTGACATTGTCCTGATTTTTATCAAGCATACTGAGCCATATAGCTTCTCTGGTTCATGCAATTTATCATCACTCTCTATGACAAAAATGTAAGGGTTAGGTTGTTTCTACTGGCCACTGGAAGAAAGAATCGGAAATTGAGCTGAGGTTCTAAGATACATACTCTTTCATGGGCTTTTTGACGTACGGGCAGAACAAGGGCATTTCCTGCCAGGCAGCCCATTGACTCCTGTTCTACAGGTGTCTGGTTGTTTCTTACCCTCCACCAGGTGTGTGAGTATCCCCTAATTTCCCAAAACAGTGATAGTAACTGAAATTTCTTCTGAGAGAAAGAATTTAGCATTAGGTCAGCTTGAAAAGATGCAGTGTGGTGAATAGATGTGATAACCAGTCTCGGTCCTTTTCTGGAAGGCCCCAGGGGCCTTGGCAAGGTAAGCACGGCACCATCCACCTTTGTCCTCTTCCTGTAACACGGCCAGAGATGGAATCAACAGAGACCTAGCGCAGCTTACTAACCAAATGACCTGGCTCAGATTTTATAGTTTCCGTAAATGGAATATTTTAAGCCTTATTTTTTTTTTTTTAACTCTTGACTGCATCAAAAGGAAACAAGAATTTATTATTGGTCATGGTTCCAACAGTGGAAAAAGCATCAGAAGTTGGATGTGTTACTCTTTACCCTAATGGAAAGAGAAGCGAGAAGCAAAATAGCTTGAATGTAGAAAGCAATCAGCCCCCTATCTGCTGGGACAGGCCCCAGAGATGCGGGAGACAAGGTTTCAGAATGGACCCTTACCTCAGAGAGCTGGCACCTTCCTCCCTTCAGAGCAGGGTGCTGAAATCTCCCTCCGTACCGCTTGCCAGATCAACTCAAATGTATTTCTTAAGATTCAGGTGCCATAAATCATCTTGTGAAGGGAAAAATAGTGACTTTTCCAAATTAAGTCAACACAACTGGAAAATCTGGACATTTGTATGAATGACAATACCTGAATAACTCCTTTCTAAGTTCAGAGCATTTGCTCATTTATTATATCAAGCCTGAACTCGCAGTACAGTTGCCTACCTTTAAATTGCCTATCTCTAAATAAAACAAAAACAAAACAAAAAAAGCTATTGGCATATGTGAGAAGGCACAGCAGCAGTTTTTACACAATTCCAATACGGCCCTCACTTACTTTATTGTGTCATTTGCTTAGATGTTGTGACTGTTTACACAACAGCTCACTGAGTGCAAGACTTTTTCCTCCTTTTATTGCTAAGCACAAGCACATGCACAGATACTGGGACAAGTGTACACCTAACATCCTGAAAGGGCTGGTGAGTTATTAGAATGGAATTTTAGTCATATGCCTGGAGACTTGAATTGTCAAGTGCAGGTTTACTGGCCACACAGCCTCCATGAGATTCCATTCATTCCCCAGCTTCCTGCATGGGAAGCTATTCTCAGGGCCTCCCCCTTCCTTTCCCTTCCCTTCCCTCCTCTGCCTGCTGCTGCCTGGCATCTTCTTCCCATCATTCACCTGAAACTCCTCTCAACAAAGACCGTCTAGCTGTCAAATTAAAAGTCCAAACCTTCATCTTAATGGACTTTGCTATGAAATCTGACAATGCCGACCACATTGCTTTTCTGGAAATTCTTTGCTTGTTTCTCCTCCACCCTCTCTGTCCATTTTCTTTCTTGACCTCCACAATGGCCAGCTCCCTCTCTTTCTGTTCTCTAAATGCTGTTGGAATCCAAAAGATTCCAGTGACGTCTCTCCTGCTACCAGTCATTTACCTGATGATTCCTAAAATGGGATTTTCAGCCCAGAGAATGCTCTTGAGATCCAGACTTCGATAGCCATTTGCCTACCTCATGTATCAGGTTCATCATCCTTTCTTTGACATTCCCTAAATTTCTCATCTTCTTCCCTGTGATCTACCTTGGTGAAGCACATCACCATCCTCTTAGTCACCTGAGCTAGAAACCCAGGATTAATCTCCACACCATCTTCCCACCTAAATCCCAACATTCCCAAGCTGGTTATACCTCCTAACTCTCTTTCCACTTTCTCTTCCTCTCCATTTCCACTACTCTCTTATTATTTCTCTTTTGTATTAACATAGGAGCATCACATCTGGCCTCCATGACTCCATCCCCCTGAAATCCGTCTTTCATCTCACTGTAGATCCTTTAAAACACAAATTTGATCTTGAAAATCTCCTGCTTAAAATACTTTAATGGCAGGGACTTCCCTGGTGGCGCAGTGGTTGAGAGTCCGCCTGCCGATGCAGGGGACACGGGTTCGTGCCCCAGTCCAGGAGGATCCCACATGCCGCGGAGCGGCTGGGCCCGTGAGCCATGGCCGCTGAGGCTGCGCGTCCGGAGCCTGTGCTCTGCAAGGGGAGAGGCCACGGCAGTGAGAGGCCCGCGTACCGCAAAACAACAACAACAAAAAAAAAACAAAAAAAAATACTTTATTGGTTTCCCATTAGTTTCAGAATGAAGTTCAACCTTCTTAAATAGGAAGAAGTAAATGCAGAAAAGCAAGAATAAACCAAAAGGCAAAATAACTTCTTATTCGGACAAAGTTTGTTGTGCTATGACCCTTACCCACTGTCTATTGTGACCTACTCCTGCTACCCTCTCAAACTGATCTCTTCAGCCCTATTGTACCATCGATGGGTACACTCCTACCTGAGTGTTCATATAGAACTTCACCATTCTGCTTCCTTTACGTAGGAGTCCTTATCTCACTTACCTCCTTATTCACCTGGATAACTTAACCTTCAACACATAGCTCAAATATGTTACCTCTTCTAGGAAACCCTCCTTCCGGACCTCCTTTCCCTCACCCACTCTCCTGTGTGTTCATAATAATAATTGAACTGAACTCTCAATCTGTATCTTTTCTCTCATTTATTCTGCTGAGTTTCTTGTAATGTTTGACACGTAATGGAAACACAGTGGATGTTTGATGATTAGATGAGTGAATGAATGAATGGGTGAATATTAGGCCAAATAACAAAGCAAAGTAATATTGTATAAAGAGCATTGTGCAATGTCTTGTGAGATACAGTGTCAAACTTCTGGTTTGGGAGCCAATCTGCTGTGTAATTGAAAGAATTGTGTAACCTTTCTGGACCTCAGTTGCTTACCTGTAAAATAAGGAGATCATACTAAGGCATATGTCCATGTTTAGCTCTAATATTCTGTCATCTCCATGACTGTCATTTCACAGAAAAAACACAACTAGCCATGAACTGAGTTTTATATTAAAGAATCGGTGCATGGCCTACACAGCTTCATTATGGATGTACCCCATCTGGGCAGCCAGTTTACAGAACAGGCTCCTAAATTCCTGCAGCTTGAACGTAAATGTGTCTTTCAAAGGAAGAGGTGCATGCCCCGGTGGGAAAACTCGAGCTTACCAGTCCCTCTGAGATTTTTTTATTAAATATTCCTGTTATTGAATTTCATTGACTTCTAAGAGGGTTGAATGATGTTCAGTCTATCAGAGAGAGATGCTGCTCCTGGGTGGGGGGATGTAAGTGTGACACGATAGTGACTGGGTCCTTGTCCTACTTCAGTGTGCCTTTCCCCTTTCTTGTAGATGGAAGCCCTTACACCTGGTGGGTGGGCAAAGCCAACGAGAAGCACTACTACTGGGGCGGCTCCGGGCCTGGAATTCAGAAATGTGCCTGCGGCATCGAGCGCAACTGCACGGACCCCAAATACTACTGCAACTGTGACGCGGATTACAAGCAGTGGTGAGTGCGGGGAGCTAGCATGCGAGCTCACCCTCCTAGCATGCCTGTAGGTCACGCTAATTAGATGGAAGAGAAAGTGTGAAAAGTGCTGAAGTAATAAGATAATAGGTTAGAAGGGTTTAGAGCTAACCCAGTTGGCAAATGTCAGGGACGTTCTGAAAAATATAAAAGCGGAAAGAGGTCAGTGCTACAAGGGTAGGCATTTAGAATAGAAGAACACATAATTGATGTGTTCATATTTTATTCAGAGAGCGAAATAATGAGCCATGTAGTAGACAGTGATTTGCATTATAAAATGCGCTTTGTGACAATAGAGGGGGTGGCCGTGGGCAGGGAGCCCGTGTGCAGGCGTGTGAGAGCATTCTCTGCAAACAGCCTCCTATGGTGAGTGCTTCCACCTCCTGCAATGTTTGCTTTGAGTAGCTGGATGAGGGGAAAAAAAAAAAAAATGAAGGGGAAAAGAAAGGGAAAAAATTGTGCTTTGCTCTCGGTTTCAGCAACAGTGCTTACCAGTCTACTTTTCTTTTATGCCTTGAACTGTTTATAACTCTGATACAAATCAGTTCAAGGAAGATCTATTTTGGGTTTCTTTCATCCCTCTACTGGCTTTTGTCCTGCTTCACGGTGAATGGCTGGTTCTGTGTCAGTAATAGATAAAGATAAATCAGCTGTCATTGCATAAGAAAAAGGCCCCAGAAGTTGGAGAGGAAGAATATAAACTTGAGTGCGGTTCTTCCCAGACGCACACATCCTGCACCTGCTTCTGGTTTTCTGACATGTGGAGAGGCCGGCTGTGCTACATTCCCACCTCTGGGCGGCAGCAGAGAGCAAAGTCCTGCATTTCCTCACGTGACCAACCACAATTTACTCTTGTCGCCTCTGTTTTACACTATTTGGGACAATTTACAAGACAAGGTCATCCTACCAGTTTACTGAAAACTAATTCTGAATGTAAAGTTATATGATTGTCAGGTTGGATGCTTATTTTCCAAAAGCCATTTTTCTTCTAGTAAATGAAATGAATCACCAAGGCTGAACGTTTCAGTGGCCTAGAATTTGTATGTGTGTGTATAAATAGTTATCATTATTCTTTAATTATGTTTTATCATAAAGATGAAATCATGATACTCACTTTTTAATTTTGTTTGAAAGGTGTATCTACACGCACGCACACACACACATTCATACCCAGTACGAAAACTAGAAATCAGGAGAATGAAATCAGAAGGACCTGGGCTTTGAAGATAACTTTTCACTCAGTCAGTCAGTCGGTCCTTCATTCTGTTAGTCATTTACTCAGCAAATATTGATGGAGCTCTAATGTGTCAGGGAGTCTTCTAGGTACTGCGAATAAAACAGAGAATGGCAATAACAAGAACCCCTGCCCTGACTTATGTTCCTGTCACTTCTTACTAGTTGTGGGTCCTTAAGCAAGTTCCGTGGGCTCTCAGATTCATTTCTCTGTTCAGCTTTGACTCACACCCGCTTCGGGAAGCAGACTTTGAGTGCAGCCTCCCTGACCAGAAATGAGAGCACTGTCCCAAGATGGTTCATTGTCCAGGGAACCCAGACTGTTCAATTCTTTTTGTACTACCACAGAAGAGAGTTGACATATTCAGAAGGAAAAGGGAAATCTTGTGTGTGAATCCAAGTGAAATTCATTTTTGTCAGATGTCATTCCAAGTGCTAGGGATACAGTGACAAATAGAACATGCTCTTTGTCCTCAAGGTACTCAAAAACTAGTTAGGAAAAAACCACACACACAAATAGACGACATAAAACAATCAGTGCTCTGAAGAAGACATTGCAGGATACAACCAAACCAGTGCAAGAAAATTTAAAGTCCAACTGAGGGAGAGCTGGGAGGAGTTAGGAAAGTCCTTACAAGACAGGGATGCTTGAGAGAGAAGTAAGAGTTTGTCAGGCACACTCTTCCTTGCATGATTGACTTGGAGGAGAAGCCTGAGGAAGGGCAGCCAGTTTGGGGAACTGTCAGCGCAGTAGATCTGGAATGTGATGTGGAGAAGAGGGAGAAAGCACAGTAAGGCTGAGCACCTGGGCGGGAAAGCGTTAGAGCTGCCATTCTTTGCAGAGAGCGGCAGGAGTTCGGATTTATTGGCAGTGAGCCCCGTGGAGGAAACCTTGATAGGGACGGCGGCGGGAGGGGAGGAAAACAGTCAGCAAAGGATGTCAAGATAGTCCTTGAAAGGCATCGCTGGTGGTCCAGTGATTAAGACTTCACGCTCCCAATGCAGGGGCCTGGGTTCAGCCTCTGGTCAGGAAACTAGATCCCACATGCATGCCACAACTAAGAGTTCACATGCCACAACTAAGAAGTCTTCATGCCACAACTAAAAGATCCCACATGCCGCAACAAAGATCCCATGTGCCACCCAGTGCAGCCATAAATGAATGAATGAATGAATGAATGAATGAATGAATGAATAAATAAGTAAATAAGTAAATAAATAAGTAAATAAGTAAATAAATAAATAAATAAATAAGTGTGTGTGTGTATACACACACACACACACACACACACACACATATGTATATATACATAAAAAGAAAGGCATCAAGGGCAAGACCATGGAAAAAGGGGAATATATGTAAGATGTTTGGGAAGTGGTACCTACAGCACTTGATAGTTATAACTACGTGAGAAGAAAGAGAGGAGTCTGGGTTGGCTCCCCACTGGGCACCTAGAAATGGTTAAATTCCTTATCAGGCTAGGAAATAACAATTTGAGGGGGTAGGTGATGAGTTCAGCTTTGAAAGTATTAAATTTGAGGCTCCAGCATAACACCATGTCTAAACCCAGAGGGGCACCATTAATGGGATTACTGATTAAACATACAGGCTTCAGAGCAATGTATTGCCAAGAACACACCTGAATTCAAATCACAGATGGGAAGATGGTGTAGACAGATCTGTTCAGCCTCACTCACAGACACACCCGTCTAGCAAGCTCTTGACTGGATTATAACTTTTCACAGTTACCTGGGGACTTGGACAGTGCTGATGTCTTGTTCCCTTCCAGCTGAGTAGCAGCTAAGACATCCTCACCCCTTGGCTTCTATGAAGTCTGTGTAATGTCTCATGATAGGGGCACTATATTTTGAGCAAACTGAAAAGTATAATAAATATGTTTACAATAAATAGCTATTAAAATGATCTTCCCTATTTGGCACAAGAAAAGAAGTTTTTGGTGATGTCTTACGGGGCTTTGAATTCACCAGCACCTGGCAAAGTTCTGTTCTGTGGATGCTTTCAATATTTTAGAATGATTGGTTCGTTTCTAGAGGTGTGTTCCAAAGTTCCCAGGAGCAGTAGAGAGAGACCTGGACTTGGAGGCAGAAGACTTTACATCCAGGCCAAGATTTGCCACTTTGGGGGCAGGTTTTTAACCAGTCTGAAACTTAGATTTGTCATCTGTATGATAAAAATAAATCTTGACTGGTAGCTTTTTGTGAGAGTTAAATAGAATGTGGAATAGGAAAATATTCTGTGAATTGTACAGTGCAGATACATACCTATTTGCAATTCTTAATTATGTAATTCTCATTGCAATTCTTAATGGCTCCAAATGAATCTTAAGAAATGAAAGCAGACTGTGGAAAGAGGTGCCTTTGCGTTCTCGACCTGCTGTGCCACAGGGCTCAAGTCGAATTCTAGAATACCACGTGGCAGTGATACGGCGCAGCCTTTATCAGAGAAACTTACAAATCAGAGACCATCAAGAGAAGAGAAGGTCCAGGTCCACCAACCCTATCAACCCTCACAGAGAGATGCTGGGCCCAGGCTCTTGTGCTGAGCACAGTGTTCCAAAGAACCCCTGGCTTCTCCTCCCATAGGGCAAGAATGAGAGCAATTTTGTCAGTGGGGGAATCAGATTCTGAGGGCACCAGGCCAGCTGGGCATAGGGCCAGCTCTTTACTGCATTGTCTGGTAGTCCCGCAGGAGCAGGAAGGAAGCCAGGGCCCCTGCAGGAAGCTGACTTGAGTGCAGCCTCCCTGACGGAGAGAACTGGGGAGCATTTGCAGCAGGTTCATTGTCCAGGCTACCCGGAGTGTGTGCTCCATGGTCACTGGTCTCCAGTTCTTTTCGTCCTACCACAGAGGACAGCTGAGAAACTCAGAAAAAGGAAAATCTAGTGCATACACCCAAGTGAAATTCGCATATGTGAAACCACATTTGTTGTGGTGTAAAAGTAAAAATAGAGGTTCTACTGAATCTCATGCTTCCAGACTCCAGCTAAGAAAGTTACTTCTTCCAGTCATCTTACCTCAATCACAGAGAATCATTTGGTTAAACTGGGCTGAGACGAATGGGTGCAAAGTTTCCTCCTACGCCGTTTCCTCTTTATGTGACCTAAGCTGGGCATTTTGCCTCCTCTAAGATTTCACGCCAGCACGATGTAGATAGTGCTTCCCAATTCACGGAAAGGTCTGGTAAAGCGCTCTCATAAATGAGTTTTTAAAATTGCAGTAGAGTATATTATTTTTATTACTTGAATGTTGAATGGAAGTGCAGCTAAAATCTTAAAAATTTTATTTTCTTTATTTTATTGAAGTATAGTTGATTTACAATGTTGTGTTAATTTCTTCCATACAGAAAGTGACTCAGTTATACATATACATATATATATATATTCTTTTTCATATGCTTTTCCATTGTTTTGTCACAGGATATTGAATAGTTTCCTGTGCTGTACAGTAGGGCCTTGTTGTTTATCCATCCTGTATGTAATAGTTTGCCTCTGCTAACCCCAAACTCCCAGTGCATCCCTCCCCCACCCTTGACAACCACAAGTCTGTTCTCTATGTCTGTGAGTCAGTTTGTTTCTTAGACATGTTGATTTGTGTCGTATTTTAGATTCCACACATGAATGATATCATATGGTATTTGTCTTTCTCTTTCTGACTTACTTCACTTAGTATGATAATCTCCAGGTCCATCCATGTTGCTGCAAATGGCATTATTTCATTCTTTTTTATGG